GAGTCTCGGAACAATTACGTTCGAAGTTTTTCTGGTCACCTTCTGGGCAGATGTGCCTGGGATTGAGGGCAGGTCCGGCGGTCCCACCGGGCCGAGGCTGGCGGCAGCTATGTTATTTATCCCCGCTTCATTTTGCAGAAGCTTTAGGAGGGCTTAGGAAGTGACACCAGAGCAGCCGGATAAATTAGAAGTGGGCGAGGAAGATGAGGCAACGGAAAACAAAGTCAGAGGCGGGTGAGTGTGGGCCATAGGGTGTCTGCGCCAGCCTCCACCCTGCACCCCGCCCCACCCCCGCCAGGGCGGTTTAGCTCTGAGCCTCCCCCCGAGACGGAACAAAGGAGAGGCTTCATTTTCCTGCCTGCATCTCGGCTCACCCCCTCCTCCTCGCGGCCCACAGGCCTCCAGGGTCACTCTCTCATCACGCCACCTGCTTCCTGGAGCCCTGTGTCTGGGTGGCAACAGGAGTGAGGGCAGGGCGGCGTCTAAGTTCTCCCTGAGTCCCCAGGGCTCGGGGTTCACTTTATGTTTAATGAGTGAATGAATGAATGGGTGGATGAACAAATGAATGAACACAGGTGGCTGAGAGAATTCGCTTCTCCCCATCATCGGGCCAAAGGGCAAGCTGTGAAGAGATTCTGTCCCTGCCCCAGCACCACTCATCACCATCCCCCTTGTCAGAGGTGTGTGGGGACCATTTCAGCCTGTTCACTCACATCACAAACAGCTTTGGGTCATCTCCCAGGGTTTGAACCCCTGCCCTGTCACTCACTAGCTGTGTGACCTTGGCCAGGTTACTAAACCTCTCTGTGCCTCCATCTCTCCATCTGTAAAATGCGGGTAAAAGTGGCACCTTCCTTGGCAGCATTCTGGAGTTTGTATCCATGCAAAGGTGCCTGGACGGGTGCCTGGAGCGTGGTAAGCCTGAGGTCTGGGTTGATTTGCATTTTTATTATTCTGACTTTGAGCCAGGCCCATGGTGGGAGGCAGAGATGAACGGGAGTTCCCTCCAATCCTTAGCCCCGCATTCCAGGCCCACAACCTTCAGCCACATGTGTTCCCGGCCTAGTTTCCCATATGTGCCCCAGACATGCACTGTCAAAGCACTGGGACAGTGTAGGGCTGGGGGCAGCGGCTGGTGACGCGATCATTGTGGTTACTGCTGCTCTCTGGGTCCTACATGTTCCAGTCGCCTGGCCACCCCCCAGCTCCCCTCTGTGTGCCTGGACCAGGTGGTTTCTCGGCCTGGATGCCCCTTTCCTGGGACATCACAGCATGGCCACCAGTCCCGTGGACGCTGAGGAAGCCTGTTCCTCCTGCCGCCCCCTCCATCAGAGGCCCCCGTGTGAGGCTGAGTGTGAGAACTGAGAGGCTGCGCCTCCAAGGGGCAGAGGAGACAGGAGGGAAGGCGGGGGTGGGAGGACAGGGTCAGGCGGAGGAAGCGGGGGAGCAGAAACAAAGCCGCAGGCGGAGCAGGAGAGGCGGGGCGGCGGCGGAGGGGAGCCTCCCGCAGGGCCTGGCCCGGTGCTCTGCATGCGGCTGCAGGCGCTGAGTAAATGTTTGTTAAGCGGATCGAACTGAATTGTATCAACAGAGAACGCGAGGCGCACCGCCTGGAAGCTTCCAGGCTCGCTGCACATGCCCCGAGGCCACGCTGTACTCCTGCTCGTCTTAATGGGGTTTGTCGAATGCATAAGTGGTACCTCATTACCCCAGCAGCACCGGCACTGGGCCACACGGATGCCCGCTCCAACCCACAAGCTGCAGCCCTGCCCTCGCCCGCCTGGTACGAGGGAAGGGGCAGGTTCACAGGCTGGATGGACAGTGGCTAAGAAGCAGCGGTGGCCTGGGAGTCCAGAGGAGGGGGCAGAGGAAAGGGGGAGCAGGGCCGTGGGTGGGGAGGCACCCAGGGTCCCCAGGTTTCCATCTGGACCATGGGGTGGGGGCTGATGCTATCGGAGCAGGTTGGGAGAGAAGGAGATTTTATTTTATTTATTTATTTATTTTTTAACATCTTTATTGGAGTTATCATTGCTTTACAATGGTGTGTTAGTTTCTGCTTTATAACAGAGTGAATCAGCTATACATATACGTATATCCCCATATCCCCTCCCTCTTGCGTCTCCCTCCCACACTCCCTAACCAACTCCTCTAGGTGGTCACAAAGCACCGAGCTGATCTCCCTGTGCTATGCGGCTGCTTCCCACTAGCTATCTGTTTTACATTTGGTAGTGTATATATGTCCATGCCACTCTCTCACTTCGTCCCAGCTTACCCTTCCCCCTCCCCGTGTCCTCAAGTCCATTCTCTACGTCTGCGTCTTTATTCCTGTCCTGCCCCTAGGTTCTCCAGAACCCTTTTTATTTTTTTAGATTCCATATATACGTGTTAGCATATGATATTTGTTTTTCTCTCTCTGACTTACTTCACTCTGTATGACAGACTCTAGGTCCATTGACCTCACTACAAACAACTCAATTTTGTTTCTTTTTATGGCTGAGTCATATTCCATTGTATGTATGTACCGCATCTTCTTTATCTATTCATCTGTTGATAGACACTTAGGTTGCTTCCATGTCCTGGCTATTGTAAATAGAGCTGCAATGAACATTGTGGTACATGACTCTTTCTGAATTATGGTTTTCTCAGGGTATATGCCCTGTAGTGGGATTGCTGGGTCATATGGTAGTCCTATTTTTAGTTTTTTAAGGAACGTCCATACTGTGAGAGAAAGAGATTTTGATCATGAGTTGAGGTTTCCCAGGGAGAGCCGGGAGGAGGGAGTATCCAGAGGGACCGGAAGGGGAATAGTTGAATAGAAGGTTCCAGAAGGGAATTGTGGGGCGGGGGCTGATGTAGCCAGGGCACGGAGAGTGGGTGGCTGACTGAGCCAGAGTCCACACCAGGCATGACGAGGGCTGGACGCAGCAGATGGGACAGGTCAGATGGGGGCCAGCGTCCGACTCGTCAGGCGGGAAAGGATGTCACCACAGTGAAAGAGCCACGACCAGAAGTCTCCAAATGGAGCCGAGAGCTTGATTCCCTGATGAGGGGGCAGGGAGCAGCCCTCTGGAGAGAGAGACAAGTTTCATTCATTCACTCATTCATTCATTCATTCCCTGCATACTTCCTGAGCGCCCACAGTGTTCCAGGGCAGGGACCACACGGAAGCCCCCGCCACTCCCTTCCGCTCTGTGGCTCTTACACTCTGCTGGTGGCGTCTGGGGTTAGCGGAAAGAGCTCAGGGAGAGGTACAATTTCAGACAAGGTGACGAGGGAAGCCTCACTTCTGGGTACAGACCCAGGAAGAGCATCTAGATAGGGGGCCGGAAGTGCAAAGGCACTGGGGTAGGAGTGTGGCCGGGTGTTTGTGGTGGCTGCAGTGGAGTGCGGCGGGTGGAGAGTAACAGGTCAGGCCAGGGAGGCACAGGCAGTTTGGAGGGCTTCAGAGAGACGTGGGTAACCCAGGAGCCTTTGGTGAGCTTTGGGCAGAGGAAAGGCTCCTGTGGTTTACATGTGCAAAGGATTCCTCCAGCTGTCGGGCTGAGATCGGGGGAGGGGCACGGGCAGAAGCAGGGAGACCAGGTAGGATCTCCCACGGTCATCCAGGTGCTGTGGGCAGGCAGCTTGGGCCCGGAGACACGGCTGGAATCTGGCTGGTCTCAAAAGGCAGGACCCGGAGGGCTTCCCAACGAGCTGGAAGTGGGATGTAAGAGTCAGAGAAGAGTCCCAGAGGGACCCTCCATCTGCAGCCTGAGCCGCTGGAAGAACTCGAGATGGGTCTGGCTGCACTCGGACGTTGCTGGTTTACGATGCTCATTAGACATCCTGGTGGAGATACAGGGTGGGCCTTGGGATAGCAGGGTCTGGGGTTCAGTGGGGAGGTCCCAGCTGCAGATACAAATTCAGGACTCATCGGCGAGGGAATGGGATTTATGGCCACGTGCAGAATGAGATCACCAAGAGCGATCCCAGACGCTTGTCCCCAGATCTCCTCCTTGGTTAACCGCAGCTCCTGTGAGTGAGACCATTTCTGGGTTGCTCGGCACCCTTGGCCCCAGCCCGGCGCCCAGCAGGGGTCGAGCAGGCCCCCAGCCCTGGCTGATGTGATGAATGACTCACTCCAGAGACAAAGGCACCAGGAACTAATTGGGTCCGAGCTGGCTGCAGAACATCAAGGCCAGACTCCTTGCCTTGTGCCCTCTCGTGCCTCTCTTTCCAGTGGACCCAAACAGCCTTTATTAGCTTAACCAACATTAAGGCAAAAAGATTCCTATGAGGAGCATGATTATAGAGTTCAAGGAATTGATCGCTTCTTGTGGTGGAGTTGTCTACGTTAATGAATTTTAAGCAGATCTGTCTTTGAAAGGACGCATCTGACTCGATCGTATGGTGACCATATCTCCCAAGCCCACGGCCAGAGACACTGCCTGACACACGGGCTGATGGATGTCCAAAGGACACGACAGAGTGTCTGCAGTCGGGGCTGTCTCGCCTCCGTCCCTCATTTATTCCTTCTGCATGCCGGGCAGGATATTAAGAACTCACAGTCTTCTCTTATCTCCGGGCATGTCCGCACTTGTAATGGGCTAACCTCAGTAAACCTATTTGGGAAGGTGTTATCTCTGGCTTGTGTTTTGGTGGAGGGGAGAGGTGGCGGGAGGCTCTAGGAAAGTAATATGCTAGTTTGATTAAGTTTTTCAATTTTCTGCTCATCCTCGTGCTGCCAGAGTAAAAGGTGCTGCCCGGGGAAGGTGAGGTGGCTGCAGAGGAGGCTGGCGCTGCAAAGCCAGTCCCAGCTCTGCCACTTCATCATCATCACAGCGAGCCTTGAGGGAGCCCGTGAAAGGGGCCAGAACCACGCCAAGAGTGTTCCATGAGCCACCTAGTCAAGACGTCCCGAATTCCTTCCTGGGAAACAGGGACCATGTCATCACTGCTTTGCAGACAAAACAGCTTCATTTCAGAGAGGCAGAGCCGCTTGTCCAAAGACACACAGCGAGTAAGGAAAAACAAACATCACCGCAAACCTTTATCAAATGCCTCCTCTGTGCCTGTCCCAAGTGCTCAGCCCACCCATCCCTTCACTCAGCCCTGGAGGAAGTGTGTGACTGTGAACCCTGAAAGGGCTAAGAAGGTGCAAAGAGTAAGAATCACATGATAATCAGCGGTCAGTAGGATTCCCATGTGCAGGTGGGGACCTGGAGGAGGGAATGTTTGACAAACTTTCCCAAAGTCATGGAGCGAACAGAGGGCGTCGCGCTCGGTGGCCTGAGAGCCCAGGATCCAGAGAATTCCTACTCTGACCTCTTCGGTCTCTGTGCCTCCCCATTCTGAGGTCAGATGGAAGGGCGTGGGAGGAGATGGCAGCTGTCGCTCTCGCCAGGGCTGCCCCCTCTGTGCTACAGACGGACGGTACACCTAGACAGTGTGTCTGATGAAGGTAGCCAGGGAGGGGAGGCAGGTGGCCCACTGGGTGTGGGCAGTTCAGGGTAGGGGGTCGCGGTCCTAAAGATGAGGTGTTCAACCAGACTCTCAAGAGTCCTTTGACCACTTTTTCTCTCATCTTCTCCCTAACGAATGCCAGGGTTCCACCGGGTCCACCTTGGAGGCGTGTCTTGAATTTCACCATGTCATTGCCTCCTCTGCCACCACCCAGGCCCAGCCGACTTCTGCTTTCAACCTCCACTCCTCAGTCACCTCCTCCAGGGCCTTCCTGCTTCCTGCAGTGTGTTCAGGTCTGATTTCTCACACCCCACCTGCCACAGGACAAAGATAAAAGTCATCCCTCAGCTCCAAAGGTCCAGCCCCTGTCCCCCTCTCTAGCTCAATGGGGTGACCTAAACTGGGAAGACAGACTGCAGCCGACAGCCTAGGTTGTCATCCCACCTTCCGCACATAGAAGCGGTGTGACCTCAGGTGAATTACCTAACCTCTTGGTGCCTCTTGGCCCCCCGTGAGTAAAATGGGAGGATAATAACCCATCAGTAAAATGGGAGGCTACCCTAAGCCCCGCACACGTGGGGAAATGCACACCCTCTTTGCAGCCCACCAGCCCACGGGAGGGGGGGACGTGCCAGAGCCTCACCCTGGTTCTGCAGGCCTGGGCCTCGTCCCTGCCCCACAAAACGCACATTGTGTGCGGCGGTGCTTCCTCCGGAGTTATCCTCATTATACACTGTTCCTGGCATCCTGGGGAGGTTAAGTAACTCGCGGAGGCCACAGAGCAGGTGGGAGCTAAGCTGAGACTCGGCGTCTCACTCGCGCCCACTGAAGGTGAGCCGACAAAAGACGCTTCTATTGTCATAAACAGCGGCCGTGGCAGAGCCGCCTTCCCAACAGAAGGAAAGGTCTAGAACGGGAATAAAATCTCCATCGCTTAGTTCTTAAGATTCACTGAACCTTCCCACTTGCAGCAAAAACAGCTTACTTTCAAATTAGTCAATCAGAGTGTGAGTCATTTCTTTGCAGGCGCCCGTGCAGGGAATACTAATGCGGGCCGCCCTGTGGGTGGGGCCCTGCACAGGCTCACGGGGACCTTGCAGAAGCAGGGGAGGGGGCACCTGCAGCGATTAGCACCCCACCAGGGACGCAGCCCCCATCCCCGCGTGTCCTCAGGGCCCCGGGGAAGCAACACCAGGTCGCTCTCCCCGCCGTTCCTCTCCAGCCACTGGGCCTCGCCTTCCAGGGTGATTAATCCCCCCCCAACCCCGAGCCGGGGAGACAGGAGGACGCCCACACTGACAGGAGGAAATGGAGGGGGCCGGAGCCACGGCCCTGCCACAAGCCCCAGAGACCTCTGTTCTGCTTTCTGCTGGGAACGGGAGGTGGGCATCAGGAAGTGAGTCAGACAGAGGCCCACGTTGTCACGAGGGGCCGTGGGGAGAATGGCCTGGTGGGCTGCACCCTCGCCCACCCCCAAGCCTTGCAGAGGCATCTCTAAGCTCACACATCCATATAGTCATTCATTCATTCACTCACTCATTCACGTTCATCTACTCATCCGTCCTTCACTCGCATTCCTGCTGCTTGGAACTAAACCCATTTAGACTGGGGTGGAGGTGGGGGTCACAAGGACAGAGGATGGGGAGTTCTATGAGGGTGGTGGTCAGGGAAGGCTTCCTGGAGGAGAGGACAGGTGAGCTGTGCTTCCCGAGGGATACAGGTAGCCAGGCAGTGGAGGGTAGGGTGGGGTGGGGGATGCGAAGGCCTGAATGTTTGGACCACAGGAGGAGCCGCTGGTGCAGCCAGAGGGGGATGGGGCCGATTCAAGAGGGCCGTGGACTCAGGCTGAACCCCGAGGCTGCTGGGTCCCGGGAGCTGTGGGCAGGGCAGCGGCATGGTCAGCGTGGAGGTCTAGGCCGCTGGCCCAGGCTCAGAATAGATGTGAGACTTGAGCTTGGCGGCCACCTGGAAGGTGGTCTGGGTGGGAGGGACGTGGCCTCAGCTGGGGCCCTGGCTGCGCGGCTGGGAGAGGCAGATGGTCAAGGGCACCCTGGAGGCTGAGTTGATGGTGCATGTGCCATTCAGAAGAGGAGGCCGGGACATCCCCAGGTGTCCTCAGGGCTCCCAGCCTGGAGAGGGGCCAGTGGAGCCAGAAATGTCTTTCCCGGGGAGTTCCCGGAGCTACTCACTGAGGCAGCGACGGGAGCTGGCCATGCCAAGGTCACTGGAGGCCACAGGAAGATCTCTCCACCTGACGGCGCCTGCCTGAGAGAGACCCTTCATTCCTCACGTTTGACAATGAGCTCAGGCAGGTCTGCAGCTGACAGGTCCTGAACGATTCCGTGTCCAAGTCTCACCTCCTGCTTTGCAGTCCCGAAACACACAGCTGCCTCTGCCACCTCCCCGGAGCCCATGCGCTCAGCGAGTGGAGGGGGGGGGCATGGGGGTCCCTCCCTGGGCCCCCCACGGAGGGTGCAGAGCAGCAGACAGAGCTTCCCGAGTCTTACTCCTTCACTCCCCATCCTCGGCAGCCTCTGGGGAGCAGCCCACACAGGTCACTTCCATTTCTCCCTCGGGGCTAATCGGTCTCCCTTAGAATTAAAAAGGTCTCGAATGTCAGATGGAGGAAGGAGACCCCAGAGAGCACCTGCCTGAACCCTCACCCCCAACCCGTGCTCCAGGACCCAGGGTGATGACTGGTTCAAGGCGTCCTGGGAGAGGGGAGGGCACCTGGGACCCCAGGACCAGGAGGACGTGGTTGCCAGCTGGGGACAGTCAACCCGCCCCTCCCGGCAAGGAGCTCGCAGGCCTGGAGAGGGCAGCTGGGGGCGGGCGAGGAGATGCCTTTAGCACGGGTTGGGCGGATAGTAGGTGTAGTCAGTTGGGGGTGCACCCCGCACCCCAGAGGTGAGCCCCAGGCCCCTCCAGCTGGCCACCGCCTGCTCCCACCCTCCCCTCCCCACATGCCTGATGGGGCCGTGGCAGCGGTGAGCGTGTGCTGACGTAGAAGGGGGGCAGCAGGGTTTGGTCCCCTTGAGGCTCTGGGAGGTCCTAGGAGGGATCAGAGGAGATCTGGCAGGGATGGGAAGTATGAGGCAACCTCACAAGTCTGAGCACAGACAGGGGGCAGCTTTCTTGGTTTTTCACCTTAAAAAAAGTTATGAACATTAAGCACGGAAGTCAATGCTGACAGGAAGAAGCAGCACCGGCCTGACCCCGCCCCCTCTGCTCCGCTGCGCTCGGCTGCCTTGTCTGCTCTCTGCCCACCGCAGTCAAAGGCACGACCACGGTTGCTCTCTGCTTTTTCACTTTGTCATGTTTCATTAGCCATCTCCATTTTCTAGTTTAAGAAGTGTGCACACACACACGCACATGCACACACACACACAGGTCTAACCCCTGAAGTTTCCACGCTGGAGTAGTGAAACTGACATATTTGAACTCTAGTGCAACCAACCCAAGTCACATACGCTGGAGGAAAACCTTCCCGCGGCAGGGTCACCAGGGCGCTCGGGCACCGCCCGGGTCTGATTTGGAAGAGCCTCCAAATTCTGCTTCCCTGTGGCTCGTTACCAGCTCGGTTATCCCCCTGCCATTGGAAGTAAAGGTCTAGGTCTGTTTTTCAGAGTCTGACTCACACTGCAGTGAACATCTTCATGCAAATGCCTTTTTGCTTTTCTTGGGTGGTTTGTTTTTTTTAATTGAAATATAATTGATTTACAACATTGTGTTAGTTTCAGGTGCACAGCAAAGTGATTCAGTATTTTTGCACATTATATTCCATTATAGGTTATTACAAGACAATGGCTATAATTCCCTGTGCTCTACAGTAGATCCTCGTTGCTCATCTATTTTATATATAGTAGTTTGTATCTGTTAATCCCACACCCCTAATTTGTCCCTCCCTGCTTCGGTAACCACAGTTTATTTTCTATGTCTGTGAGTCTGTGTCTGTTTTGCATATACATGCATATTATTGTTTTTTACATTCCACACGTAAGTGATATATAGTATTTGTCTTTCTCTGTTTGACTTACTTCACTAAGCATAATATCCTCTAGGTCCATCCACGTTGCTGCAATTGGCAGTATTTCTTTTTGTGTGTGTGTGGCTGGGTAATACTCCATTGTGTGTGTGTGTGTGTGTGTGTGTAAAACACATCCTCTTAATCCAATCATCTGTTGATGGGCACTCGGGCTGTTTTCACGTCTTGGCTACTGTAAATAGTGCTGCTGTGAACATTGGGGTACATATATCTTTTCAAATTAGTGTTTTTGTTTTTTCCAGATATATACCCAGGAGTGGGATTGCTGGAGCATATGGTAGTTCTAGGTTTCATTTTTTAAGGAACCTCCATACTGTTTTCCACAGAGGGTGTGCCAATTTACAGTCCTACCAACAGGGTACGAGGGTTTCTTAGGGGGGTTTTCTTAGGAGCACATTTCCAGAAGTAGGATTGCTGGACTACTGGGCCTCAACACATATATAACAACTCTTTGTACCTATTTTCACATGCGCCTCTAAAGGGGCCATGTCATTTTCACATCCCCCTCCCGCCCTTGGGACGAGTTTGTCTCCGGGATTGTAGTTAAAGGTATATACAGCTGACCCTTAAACAACACAGGTTTGAACTGCGCAGGTCTACTTCTATGCAGATTTTTTTCAATAGTAAATACTATTTACTACGTGATCTGAGGTTGGTCGAATCCTCAGACACAGAACCTTGGATATGGAGAAACCACGGATACGAAGGGGCCACTAGAGGTCATATGCAGATTTTGGACGGAGCGTTGGCGCCCATAACTCTCGTGTTGTTCAAGGGTTGACTGCATTCGGCTAATTCAGTAGATGCAAAATAATCTGATGTGAATCTCAGTCATACCACTTACCCAGAAAATAGATAGCAGAGGTATTTTTCTCCGTTTTTCTCTGGTACAGTATTTTCATAGTTATTTCGAATAGATAGAACCACATAAAATTGCCTAGATTCTATCATCTCTGCCCTACAGAGAAGACAATTTTATACATTTCATCCCAAAACTAAAGATTTGAGTGCAAGCCGCAATGAGCTATCAAGAGAGCAAGGACCAAATGGCCATTTCTTCTTCCTCCCCGGCGAGAGATGCTGAGGTGACTTTTCGATATAACACTCAATTTTAGGAAATTAATTCCATCCTCTGACTTGCTTGTTCTCTAAAGGCTGGTGTCAGCTGAGCAGGGAGACAGCGGAGGTCTCCGAAGCATCTGATATCGCAGGGGCCGACAAGGCTGCACGACTCTGGTCCATCCAATAATTGTCTGGCTTTCTCTGACCCGGGCTAGGTGGGCGGCTGGCAGAGAGCTTTGGGCGGTTTTCTAGCTAGAAGGGTGTCGCCGAGACCCCTACCTTCTGCAGTCTCTTCCCAAGCCGGGCTCATCCGGTCCCTTCCCGGGAGCTCTGGGCTAGATGCCAGGAGATCCGGGCTTAATTCTCAGACGGTTCCCTAAGGAGGTGGCTTTTACTGGCAAGCGTGAAGGGAGGGGGAAAAGGAGAAAAGAAAAATGACGTGCGGGCTGGTGACGCGAGCAATCCCCCTCTCCGGGCTGTGAGGCACACTGGTTTAATAAACGCTTCGTGAAATACAAATCTTGATTTTTTTTCTCGGTTGTGGTACGATATACAAATCATAAAGCTTGCCATCTTAGCCATTTTTAAGTGTGCGCTCCGGTGGCTTTCCATACGTTCACGTGGCTGTGCAGCCATCGTCACCAGGCATCCCACAATGTTTTCATCTACCCAACCTGGAATTCTGTCCCCAGCAAACAGTACTTCCCCATCCTCTCCCTCCCCGAGCCCCTGGAAACCACCTTTACATTTCCTGTCTCCAGGAGCTTGCCTGCTCTATGTACGTCATGTAAGCGGAATCCTACAACATCGGTCCTTCTGTGTCTGGCTCATTTCACTGAGCATCACGTCCTCAAGGTTCATCCACGTTGTAGCCTGCGTTGGAATTTCCTTCCTTTCCAAGGTTGAAAATATTCCACCGTACGGAGGGACCACGTTTCGTTTATCTGTTCATACGTCGATGGACATCGAGTTGCTTCACTTTTTGGCTGTTGTGAGTAGTGCTGCTGTGAACACAGGGGTACAAATACGAAGCAGGTTATAAAAATATGTCTGAGTTGGGAGCAGAGTTGAGCCTCTCACACACACTGACCCTGGAGAGAGGTTTCCAGAGGAGAAACTGAGGCACGGTGGGCAGTGACATGCAGAGGGGGCAGGAGGTGGGCCTGGCCCCCTGCCTGTGGGCTGGCTGTGCCCGGGTCCCGTAGGCCTGTCTTTAAGGTCAGCCGCAGGAAGACCCTTGCTTGGGACAAGACCCCCCAGAAGTCCTGGCAGTAGGCAACACACTACAGACCCTCCCACCAAGATTCAGGGGACATGGGCCTCCAGTCCTGCTTTCCCATACCCAGAGTCCCCATTTACAGATGGGGCCACTGAGGCCAGTGACCCTCCTGGAGACTGGGTCGGCCTCCCCATCGGCCACTCTGTAGGTGGGAGAGGAGGAACGTGGCTCCCAGCCTCTCCGGCGTATTGAGTGTGCGGACAGCTGCCGAGAGACTCAGGTAATTGACGTTTCCTCTGACCTCCGGCACTTTTAATTGGATTGAACAGGCACTTAGAGAAGGGCCAGATCCGGGTGCACCAAGGGGCGGGCCCGTAAATCGGGCTCCCAGAGAGGCCTCCTGCGCCGGGGACGCTGAATCCCCCCCTGGAGCTACGGCATGACTACCAAGGGGCCCTGACCACCTCCCGCAGGTGCAGGGAAACCTACGGGCGGCTCTTCACCGCGCCCCGGGAGCATGCGGCTGCTCTCCCATCCTGCGGGGGAGGACGGTGTCCCCCCTCCACGGCCCCAGCTGCCTCCCAGGAGCTGATCCAGGTCCTTTGGAGACTCGAGCCCCTCACCAGAGAGTCCCTGGCAGCGGATGGAGGGACAGGAAAAGGGGCCCGAGGGAACCTTCCACCCCCAGCTGCTCATCCGGGCGCCAGGGTCCCAGGGTGAGGTGCTCCCCCTTCACAGAGCTGCTCCCACCCCCTGTTGCCTCCACCCTCCCAAGGATGCCCGTGAGCCCAGAGGGCTAAGTCTGACGGATGCCCCTCGTGGCTCCAGTCATTGCCGTCCCCCAGCCCGTGCAGCTGCTCATTCGCTCCGGTGAAAACACTGTCTTCTCTTGGCTCTGGGACCCACCGGAGTCTCCTCCTGCTTCTTTGGAAACCCTCCCAGACTTTCCTCAAGGGTCATCCTGGATGCCCAGCCCTCTCTCTGTGACACGCCCCCCCAAGACTATCCTCCCCCAGCGTTTACACCCCACCTGTGTGCCCGGGAATCCCAGACCCCGTCTGCCGCTCAAGCCTGAGCTCGCCCCCGGGGCCCCACCTGCCTCATGGACCCTGCCGCCACCAAGCACCCCAG